CCAGCACCGGCACCGCCACCGTGAGCGCCGCCATCTTGGCTCGTCACATGACCCGCCGGCGGCAACAAAGGGGCGGGGGCGGAGCGGGGCCAATCAGGGGCGGGGGCGCAAATGAGGCGTGGCTTAGGGATGGGGGCGTGGTCTGGATGCAGGGGCGTGAACTGAATAAGGGGCGTGGCTCGGGGAAGGGGCGTGGCCTGGGACTGCCCCTGGCCGAGGGTTCGAGCCCCGCCGTTCCCGATCCCAGCCAGAAATCCCAAATCCTGCGGCCCGCTCCCCGCCCCGGGACACGCAGCCAGGAAATCCAAGAGGCCTGCGTGTTGTCCACGTGGCACTGCTTCCTCTCTGCCCTGCCGCGCGTTTGGAATGGGCTGGGGCACATCCTGCCTGGGCTGCTGCCTGATTTCCTCCTGCAGAGGCGGGTGCTTGGCACAGCTGCCTTCAGGAAGTTCTTCTCAGCACCGAGTAAGGACAAGCCTTCTTCTGCCACCCAGCCTTTCCAAAACGCTTGTGTGCTCTGTTGTAAAGCGATTCCCATTTCCTCCCATGGGAAGCTGCTCCCAGGCACCTTCCTGGTGGCTGTGCCATGCCTTGGCTGCAGTCCCGCAGTCATTGTGCTCCTTCTCACACTGACTTGGACAATAACCAGCATGCCAGGGACAGGCATCAATATCCGCCACGTGCATATTGCACATCTCTGCCCTCCCTGGCTCTGCATCCTTCCCGTTCCCAGTCCCACAAGGCCTCTGCAATTCCTGCTCTCCCCTTTTCTTCTGGAGCTGCTGGCACTGGAAGCTAAGGGGTGAAATAAAGGCTTAAAATTCCCCCCACTCTTGCAGGGATGATCCTAACGTGTCTCAGCACTCCAGGCAGCATTCCTGCAGCGAGGGAAGGGACAGGAAGCACCCACTCCTCTCCCTCCTGGTGACAGTTTCCTCCCGGCCTCGCTCAGGAAATTTTGGTCTCTCCCTCCCCAGGGCTCCTGCTGGGAATCACAAATGCCTTTGGCATAGTGGCAGGGATTATTGCTCCCACTGCAGCTGGACTCCTCATCAGCCAGGTAACCTGGGGCCAGAAACCAACAGCACATCCCTGGATAAAAAACAAACCTGTTCTCAGCAATGGATTCCTTTCTTTGCACTGAATCAGAAATGACACCAAGCCCACCCCCTCTCCCAGAGAAAATGTGTTGTAGCACCTGGCAAAACAGAGCTCTGGACTATTTTGGGGACAGGGATGACTCAAAGCAGGAAGAGCTCCACATGGGACCCCATCTGGATGTATTTGGAGATGGGGAGAGGGTTGAGGGAGTGGGTGAGTGGGAAGCTCTGTGCCAGGCAGGAAAAGCTTCCTGAATTCAGCAGAGAAATGTCAAGGTAGGAAATGTCTCTTCAACAAGATGGGGTCTGGCAATTCTTCCCTGAGAGGGTGGGCAGGCCCTGGTACAGGGTGCCCAGAGCAGCTGGGGCTGTCCCTGGATCCTGGCAGTGCCCAAGGCCAGGCTGGACAGGGCTGGGAGCTCCTGGGACAGTGGAAGGTGTCCCTGCCATGGCAGGGGTGGCACTGGGTGGCAATTCAGGTCCTTTCCAACCCAAACCACTCCAGGATTCTCTGATTCTCTGTGTCTGGAGCTGCTGGCTGCAGTGCCCTGAGCCCGTGCCCATGGGAAGGAGCATGGACAGATCCCAAATGGGATCCATGGATTGCTGGAAGCCAGCCCAGCCTGCAGCTATTTCCAGCAAAGCTTTTCTTGGATGAAGTAAATCCATAATGAAGCAGTTTTACTTTTTAACCAGAGGCTTTTCACACCCTCTGCGCTGAGACTCCTGACACTTTTTTCTCTCCTTAATGAGACAAGCTGATTATTCATTTATCCTTCATCCCTGCTTAGAAGCAACTGGGGCAAAAAACAATTGATGGCATTACAGAGCTTGGGCTGGCAGCTCTGGGGAGGCAGGGAAAGGGGATAAACAGGGAAAGCCTTGAGCTGGTGCCATTCTTACCGAGTGTGAGCCTCCTTGAAGGCATTTTCTGCTCAGGATGTGGCCACTGAAGAGAAGTTTGGACTCCAAAGTGGTCCAAAGTGAGTTTGGGCTGCCCCTTTCCCAGAGAAGCTGGGAAGTTCTGCTCCCCCCCGAATGCATCACACGTTTGGGTTGCTTTTTCCTCTCTCCGTTCATTGTGGTTACTATTAACACTTCCCGTTATTACCGCATTTGACTGTTTTTTCAATGATGGGTATTAATTAACGGAGGGAGCCATGACAGAGCCGCGGTTGCCATGGCAACCCCGCCCTCCGCCCGCCAGGGGGCGCCGCC